TACCCCAGCCATTGTCTGTTTTCATTCTCATTCCTCACTTGCACATTTTGGAGAACGTGCGTTGGAGTCTTGTGTGGGGAGCTGCGTTGTGCCATCTTGCTCCCCCTTCTTCTTCCATCTCCATCTCTGTCACTAGCAGAGCACCACACCTGGTGGGTCCGCTACATGGAAGCTGGTCTTTCTTTTTCCTTTCTGTTTTTCGGCTTTTTCTTCTTGTGATTTTTTCTTCGACATGGGATTTTGTGGTGTGTGGTGACCCCGTTTTTGGGCTTGACAGATGATGTCTGGCCCTTAAACTTGACCACAAAATTTCTGTGAGGGACGCCAGGCCCGCTTTGAGGCATGGAGGGGGGGAAAAAAGTTGTTCATTTTATTAAAAAAAAAAAAACCGTGTCTTCAAAGTTTTCCGACCATTTTTGTGTTGAGACCCATGTGGATTTGGTGGCGTTAGTGACACTCCACTAACATATGGGGAGGAGTGTTTACGTGGAGCTGTGCTTTGGACTTTGTGGACTCTTAGAAACTCGGCTGTGCGAGGACTCGGAGGGGAAAACTTCACACCTCTGATGGTTCGTGCAGAAATCAAGTACTCCATCAAACAAACATTGTCAACCGAATGGTCGCTTAAAGATGTTAACAAAGGGTTCTCTGCAAAGGATCTTGAAAGATTCCACACACACTTGGCCCAGTTCACAGGTTTGGTGGCGATGTCGGCTCAATCTGGCCATACTCCGGAACTTCAATTTTCTTCCTTTTTTCTGTAGGACCTCTTGGTTACACATGTGTGAACCTTCCTTTTAGCGAGTTCCCTTTTCTGCATCGCTTCATCATTGTAGAAATGTTACTTGTATGAGACATTGACTGCTCTACTTCTCTTTCTGGCCTTTTTGTACATAGCATTAGAGGATGAGTCTGTTCAGTAGAGGCAGTTCAGTAGTACAACTGTAGTTACATATTAGTGGTCACACATTGATTTGCTTCAATTTCTGGTTTTCTTTCTGGCTTTCAGTACATGACATTGAGGTGAGGGCATTGTGAGCGATAGTTTAGGGCTTGACCGGTGATGTCTCGCCTAAGTCCGGAATTTTTTGTAAGGGACGCCAGGCCCGTTTCCTGGCTTTGTAATATAAGGGACACCGGGCCCGGTTCCCGGTTTTTGTAAAAAAAAACAAACAAAAAAAAAAAAAAAAAAAAAAAAAAAAAGTTTTCCTACCAGGTTGGTACCGCATAATTGCGGTTATAACCAACTACCGGAATTATGCACAAATTATGGACATACCCAGGCAAAATTATGGGCATACCGGGGACCTGAGGAGAGGCCAAATTGTTCATATACCCTGCTACCCGGATGGCAGAAATTCAATTTGCTCATACCCAGTAGCCGTTGGGCCACAACGGTCTACTTGGTTGGTGGGCATGAGCATAATTTCATGCTCTGAATCCAGGGCCTGCAGGATTGGGTACACCTACAATTTCGCACGGGGAAAAGTTGGGTACTCTGCAAAGTTGAATGCCCTCTGGGGGTATAGATGCGAGCCTTAGTTCGTGCTGCCAGGGGGACCGGGTATCTGACGCCCAACCTCACGCCCAGCGCGACTTCCTGATCAGAGTGGGACGGGGGCCCGGAAGTGCGAAGAAAGGGGGTGTGCCAAGGATTTTAGGAAAGTGGGGGGGGAGTCCCAGGTCGAAACTGAGATCTCCTGTGGCAAGTTTCAGGGGTAAAAGCGCAAGAGGGGATATGTAGGTCGTGCCTTGATCCTTATGAGAAGGAAGGTAGACCACCTCTCGTGGTTTATGCACAGCGGGAAAACTGCAAATGTCGTCCAGCATAGGGCAGACGGCATGTGCAGTGCATCCCACACCAAAGTTCCCGGGGTACTCTTCTACAACCCCAGCGTCGACAGATCTAAACACTCTTGCATTCTCGAACAAAATCCCAACAACATTGCCCCTGCCAACGAACCCCAATTTCGTTAGCCTAAAACCCAGAAATGGAAATCACCATCGCCTTTGGTTTCGCCTTCAGGGTCAGTCACACGGTTCGGCCAGTTGTCGGCACCACTCGTAACAGGCTTCGGATTCTGCCAAGGCGGGCCGTAAACGGAGGCTGTGCAATCGCTGCTCAACTTCGGTTTGAGTCTGTCGGGTAGTTCCCAAAGCTCAGCGCGCCTGGTAATGCTGGCAATCCCTGCACGGCGGGCTGGGGCAATAGCGAGCTATGGAATTCCACGGAACCACTGTGAGTTGGTGATAGGGGAGGAGGAGATGGAAGGGAGGGAAGTTGGTGGTGATAACGACGAAACCCGGGGATATGTAGTATTGAGTATTGTCCGTATTTGGGTAGTCTGGGCCTCTGGGGTCGTTGGTTATAGCCCAATGGAAATTCCCCTCGCATAGTCAGTCGTGCTCCGTCAGACAGGGGAATTCTGGGTTTCTCAAGTTTCCCCGTAGTCTAAGCTGTTCGCCTTCCCAATACTCGCAATATTCCGGGTCCCTCAGGTTTTCGTAGTCGGACGCCTAGGAGGGAGATATCGCAGCCATGTCCGTTTAGTAAGCCGAATCCCCCGCATTCTTACACGGGGCTAAGGCTGACTCATGCGAACGAGCGCGTACGTGGCGACTCGGCTTTCTCGAGATCGCGATCGTGCGCGTGCGCACTCGTAAGGAACAGGCGATTGGTTCCGGTTACGTTCAGCACAAATGCAAATATCCTACCAATCACCACATGCCATACATGTGACGCAGAAGGACGATCAACTCATCACAACACTCCTGCGTGTTAACGACAGGATCCCAGACATTCAGACGAGCATTTCCAATCAGTTCTAAGCGTATAGCTCCCGCAAGTGAACATTGGTTAGAGACGAAACAGGCATCGCAAAACAGAGCTAGAAATCCGAAAAGATCGCTGATAAAAGGGAATTTATATTCATTTCATGCATGCATACCGAATAAAATCACAAGGAAAATTTGAGACGATGTACAAGCGAAGTTCAGTAGAGGAGGGTCGTGACAACAAAATCGGTCATACCAGGATCCAAAATTGTACAGATGAACAGGGGAAGAAGGAGACAAAAAAAAAAAAAACCTTATCCCGCACCCATACAACCTCTCTCTCTCTCTCTCTCTCTCTCTCTCTCTCTCTCTCTCTCTCTCTCTCTC